TCTATTGATGATAACCCCAAAATCTCAAGGCTTCTATTTACACCATGAGTCATCTTCCATATTCCATTCATATTTTAATGTAATACTGGCATCTTTAATTGCAAGGAAAAGCATCATTTGCAATCTGCAATTAGTGAAATCATTTTTATTTATAATGCCTAGTTTTTTTTTTTAATTTCATGATTTTTTATATAAAATTTTTTTTCTCAATTATAGATTACGATTAATTTAATTATATGTGTACAAGATTTTTATATAACATTAAGATTAAAAAGTCCTTTTATATTGCCATAAATGTTCCAACTTTTTTTTTTTGAATATTTTGGCTTAGCCCGTATATTAAATAAAAGAAAAGTTATAAGTGTGAAAAGAAAAGAAAAAGGAGAAAGCTCAACCAAAAGAGATCTATCTCAACAAACCAATCCAAAACCATTTAACACCTATAATCTCAAAATTTGGCAAAAAAAAAACAGAGGTGAGGCCTCCAAAAAGTAGGACTCGGTAAAATATTTCAGTCTAAATAATGAGCACAAAGAAAAAATTCCCTTGGTTGACGAGAGACCATCCAAAGGGAGAGCCATAAGAAGCATACATCATCATCTTGTGAAGCAAAACTGACAAGTAGCAGCTCTCCATGAATAAAAATCAAGAAAAACACCGAGGCAAAGAAAGCCCCCAGCAATTACAACATATCCAACAGTTCATGGCCATTCTCCCACTTGTAGATTTTGGAGAAGACAAATCTCCTAATATTAAGAGTGACCGTGCTAGTATTGTTCATAGAATTACTGAAACGCCTTCTATTTCTTTCCGCCAAACAAAATAAATTGACCAACAAGTAATGAGGAGAAAAATGTTCTTAAAAGCAAGCGGAGTGTTGGGTAAATCTTAAATTCATACCATAAGTTGTGAGATATTAGGCCTAAGAAGCAGGACACTAGTACCAGGTAATAGATCAGTGAGAATAGAGAAAGAGTAGCAACATTCAAAAAACAAATGTCCAGTACTTTTGTTGCAACCGTGGTACAAGGAGCAAGTGGCATCTATAAGAATGTTTCTTTTGATTAAGTCATCAGCAGTTTTGAGTCCACCCACGATGGACATCCAAACAAAAACTGAGAATTTTAAAACATGACGATTGTGCCAAATGAGATTAGCCCAAGGAGCCGTAGGAATGTCTATATAGACTTCGTGAACAAATTGTCTAAAAGATCTGATACCATAGTTATTCCATATCAAGTAAGTGTCAGAATCTTCATAAATAATAATATCCCGTATAGAATTTGTAAGAGATAGTGGAATGTGGTTGGGTAAATTCCAAGAATTGCTAGAAATGAGTGATCTGACTTGAGCATTAGGCTGAAATTCATTCAATAAAGAAGCAACCTCAGGATTATCAATGAAGTTATACCCATTGCACCAGTTGTCTCAAAGCAATTTGAAACTATCCCAGTCGTAAAGTATACAACTTTCCAAAAATTAGAGGCAGAACCAGATGGAGGACGCAAAGATGAGTTGTATATGTGAATCAGCCAGTTGGATAAAGGGTTGTTGCAATTGTACATTCTATTAATGATAGAATAGTGATACCCAAATTACAGAGTAGATATAGAAGGCAAGTCTAGGCCCCCTTTCGATTTCGGTTTGCAAACATTATCCTAGGATACCAACCTCAATTTTTTAAAAGCCGCAGCATCTCCAAAAATTAAAAACTAGAGCATAATTTCCTCACATATTTAAAGATAGTTTTAGATATAATAACACCTCTAATCCAATAAGCACTAGAGTTAAGAATAGTAAATTTTAGAAATTGTAAATGACCAGCAAAAGAAACTAAGTTGGCCTTCCAACTTATTAACTTCTCAGTGATGCTTTCCAACAAAGGTAAAAATTAAAAAAAAATCCTGGTAGTAGTTATTAGAATGCCCAAATAAGTAATGCAATTATTGACATTGGAAAGAGATAAGGCGAAGCAAACTACCTCACGGTTAGAAGTGTTACCAGATAATAAAATGGAGCTTTTCTAAAAAATTTCCTGAAGACCCGTTGCACTAGCAAAAGTGTTAAGGTGTGTTGAGAACTTAAGGTAGTTAGGGACGCCTGATTTGCCCAAAACAAGAAGGTCATCAACATACAAAAGATGTGTAAGTTTAAAACCCTCAATATATATACCCTTAAGACCGCCATCATCTAAAAGACAAGAGAAAGCATCCATGACCAAACAAAAAAGATACGGACTTAGTGGGCACCCTTGACGTAACCTAGTAGATGAAGAGAAATAACCTTTAAGCGCATCATTAATAGCAATAGAAAAATTAACATCATATATTCAAGCTTTTACCCCTTGGATCAAAATGTTTGGAAATTTTTTTTTCGCCATTCTAGAAAGTAGAATCTCCCTAGATACCATATCAAAAGCTTTCTGAATGTCCAGTTTAGAATAGAAAAAACTACTACCTCATTTACATCTAGCATAATTAAGAATTTCATTTGCGAGTAAGACATTTTTTGAAGAAATTCTAGACTTAATATACCTAACTATGTTGTCTTTCACAATCATATGCATAATGTTCTTCATCCCGCTAGATAAAACTTTTGAGATAATTTTATGAAGAACATTGTAAAGGGCAATGGGTCTAAAGTCATCAAAAAAAGAAGCTGCATGTTTAGATTTGGGAATTAAAGCAAGAGCAGTAGCTTTTACACCTCTAGGTAAATACCCCTTAAGAAAGAAACATTTTATCGCTTTGCAAATCGTAGGCCCAATGATATGCTAACCCGTTTCGTAAAAGTGAAAATTGAAACCATTTAGCCCAGGGAAAGAGCTAGATGAACCATAGAAAATATCAAACTTGATCTCATCATCAGATATAGGTTTGATAAGAGATGAAGCAAGATTTGAGTCGAGTGTGTTGCCAACAGGAAAAAGAATTGTGGAAGTAGAAGGGGGTGGGATAGGGTTGTAAAGGTTTTGAAAATGGTTTATTAAAGTGGAAATGGCTTATGCTCTAGAGGTTTTAGGGTTAGAAGTTGTGAGGTTAACAACAACATTATTAGAACACCTCTTCCTAATTTGAGCTTATAGGAACTTTAAATTATCTTCCCCTATAGACAACCAATTAGATTTGGCTCTCTGAATAACCCATGATGCTTCTATAGATGAAAATTCAAAAATTTTCACATTGATAGATTGGAGATTTTCGTTAAATTCCACATTTAAAGGATCCTCAGTAATCCTATCAAGGCACTTAGCTTGCTTACGATGAAGGCCCACAAGATGTGAATCCAAAATGGCAGAGTTAGCCCAATATTCCAGTTTGATAACTCCTTTGAGATTCTTAAACTTGCCGCATAGATCCAAGATCGGATTGCTAAAGTAGGGAATGGAAAAAACTTCAAGAAGAGCCTCCCAAGTCCCAATAACTATCAAGCTTAGTTTAATAATTCTTAAAAAGGAATATGTGCTTCATCGGATTAGAAATCTCAGAATGAAGAATGATGGGGCAATGATCAGAGAATGTAGGATTTTGAACATAATAGAATGAGTTGGGGAAGAAGGTCAACCAAACCTCATTCACAAGAGCCCGGTCAAGCGTAATATGTATAGGATTTTCTACTTGTTGATTAAACCATGTGTAAAAATGTCCCACCAAATGCAACTCTTTTAGATTAGGTCAAAAAGCATAAAATTGATGTCTCAAAGCCTATTATGTAAAAGGATGGAACCACCAGCTTTTTCGGAAGAGAGTCTGCAACAGTTGAAGTCACCAACAATAATCTGGTAGGTGTGATGAGTTCTCTCCAGACTCTTGATTTGATCCAATAGAAGAATATGTTCCAAAACAGAGTTAGAAGCATAAACTATGGAGAGAAGGAATGGAGGATTATTACCATAGAACACCAAACCAGAAATTAGCTGAGCAATAATAACAGCTGGAATGAAATTCAAACTCTGAGAATTCCACTTTAACCAAATACGATCAGACTTGGAAAACCCAAAATTGTTACAGTCAGCTTCAGAGGAAAAAAGTGTATGTGAAAGGGAAAGAAAGGGTCCAGTAAAGAGGTAGCCTAAATTCTATTCTCCAAAAGGCAAAGCATATCCAACTTGAAAGAATTAATAAAACGACTACAACAAACAACTTTATCAAGGGAAAGTAGAGACATTATGTTTTAGGTGGGTGTGGGGGTTTCCTGCTATTTTTCCCCATAGTGGACTTTGATGCTTGGGCTGAGTTTGGAGGTTGATGCATATTATCATTGATATTTGAAGTGGTAGCCATATGTTATGTAGAAACAATATTGTTCTTGATTTGCTGAAGAATGGTGAACTTGTTAGGTGATATAACATTAGAGACAAGTTCCTGATAGAAAACCCGAGGATTAGAAGAATAACCCTCATCAGTAGGTGAATTTAGCTTGGGAATGATAGGTGTGGCAAGGTCTGAAGAATAAGAGGGTTGTGGTGGCACCATAATAGTTAGAGTCAGTTTTAAGGTTACAGGTGCTTGCTCCTCCTAGATGGACTGAGATGCTTGTATTTTCTCTATGATTGATCGTTTTGAGTAAGGTGAGGTGGGGAGATTATATTCCAACTTTCAATAATATTAATAAAAATTAAAAAAAAAAAATTGAGAAAGCAATGAATAATTATATTATATTAGCATTGAATCAAACATCTTTCATTTTAAATTTGGCAGAATTATTTGTAAATAATAAATACATTTATAAGATAAATTATAATCATTATTTATTTGTAAGTATTCAGAAGGCAGAGCGGTTGATTCCTACAGACCTTAAGGTGAGGTGGGGAGATTCTATTCCAACTTTCAATACTATTAATAAAAAATAAAAAAAATATTGAGAAAGCAATGAATAATTATATTATATTAGCATTGAATCAAACATCTTTCATTTTAAATTTGGCAGAATTATTTGTAAATAATAAATACATTTATAAGATAAATTATAATCATTATTTATTTGTAAGTATTCAGAAGGCAGAGCGGTTGATTCCTACAGACCTTTTCTCCTTCAACCAAAAAATACTTGAGCAAAAGTTAACCAGAGAGCAAGCTGCCCGAGAAATGGAGGCAGGATCACATGCAGAAAGATCTGGTCCTCCTTACTCGCTGCCTCCTTTCCGGTTGCAGAGCGAGGACATACTGTTTTGCATCGACATCGATGCCGAATCGTCGGTGGAGATGAAGGTCTCCGGTGTCAAGGGTCGTCCCATCACTCGCCTCGATTCAATCAGGCAGTCACTTCTCCTTTTCGTCAACTCCAAGCTAACCATGAACTCCGACCACCGCTTTGCCTTTGCCGTCCTCGGCCAGTCAGTTTCATGGGTTCGTGACATTTTCCCATTTTCGTTGTAAAATCTGTGTATAAGGTGTTTTGTGGTATTCTTCTCTTGCGCAGTGGATTTTTTTTTTCCATAAAGTTAACGATGATCGAGATTGTGGAATGGTTAGTTAGGGATGGAAGTTTGTTCTGAGTGCTATTATGAGAAATGACCATGAATGACAACAAACTAAAATACTGAGTGAAAAGAGAGCAATGAAATAGAGAGAAAAGATAGGATTATACAGTGAACCTTTTAGATTGATGCAAAATAAGCTTGAGCTAGAAAATTAGGTAAACCAAGTTCGTCATTTGGCCCCCTGTTTATAGATTATGTTGGGCTTGAGCTGTATAGGTTTGGCTACATACCTGATTATACAGAAAAAAAAAAAAAAGACAATAGGCGTGTAACTTAACCACGAGTCATCCGTCGAGCTAATAAGAATTCGCAAACTTGGTGTGCATGAATAGATAAATGGTCGAATAGTTGACCAATAGTTTCTCATATGAAGGAAATCCACATTCCTAGTTGTTGAGGCCAACTGGATAGGTCGTACCCGCTTGCTTGGGATTATAGGTTGTAGTTGTCTACTTGGGACAGATTCATTTGCAGACTTGGCAAGTTTCTTTTGATTTAGGTTAAGTAAATTGAGTTGACTTTATGTAAACTAGGTTTTCTGAATAATTGGATACATATTTGTTTCCATGATTCTCTTTTATCTTTGTGCATTTATTTTGAAAAGGATAATATAAGATTTAAAAATATTTTTCATTAATTATTTATATAACATAAATGTTTATTTAGTGTTTGATATTTTTCAATCAATTTAATTTTGAATTTTAATATTGTCCTTTTGTCCACATCGGCAGATACTTAGCCTGTAAATATTAGATTGAGGTTTTTCATTCAAATGTTTTTCTTCATTTTTCCTTCACCTCTTCTTGAGCTCTGCAATTCATTGTTCTTGTAAAGAATGGAAAACCTAAAGGATAAAATTAATATCTCGAAGGATGATATCATAGTGAGTTTGTTTGGAAATCACAACAAAGAAGAAACTTCTTTTGAAAAGAAGAAAATAAAGAAGAGAACTAAAGATTGAGGAGATGAAGTCGAAGGGTCGAGATCTAAGAACTCACTGCTTCATCGAAGTTACTATTGAAGCAGCATTCTTTTCACCTTCTGAGGGTTTCAAACAATCTATTTTGACAATGCCTTATTCTCCCACCTGCAAAGATGGAAATTGGGAGAGAAGGTAAAATTAGAATTTTTTGAATTATATCTATAATGGCGACTTCATGTAGTTTTTTTTTCCTAGTGAGTGAGCTTTTTGGTGTGATACCAACTGCTGATCATGCAAGCTATTAAGAGCAAAGTAGAGAAAGGATTGAAGTTGGCCAAACAGTCATTTTATCTGGGGGATGATTATTGCTTGGCGGACAACTAAGATGGTTGTGATTGAAGTCACCCAAAGGCCTATCAATGGAGCTACAGTTGAAGGTGTTTATGCACTCACTGAGTAACAAGCTATTGGAGGGCGGAGTACTTATGATACCAAAAGACTACTGAAAATATGATTTCTTCAACTTCTTGGATAAAATTTTATCTTGACATTCTAAAGAAATCTTCTTTAACTTTTATAAATGATACCCTTCATCGATTAAGCCTTGTCAGTTGCAGAGAAAGATCCAAGGATGCTTTCAAATCTAGTTAGTCTGATTCCAAGTACTTTAAGGAAAATACTTTGGGTGACTACTAATAAAGGGAAGATCACACTTCTAATATGAAGGAATGTTCCCAAGATAATCATAGTTCGATTTCTAATACATAAATAGAATTGTTTGAAGTGACTTTTTTGAAGAGTGTTGAAGACCTTTGAAGTAGGCCAATTAAAGTCGTCCATTTCTGCCATGAAAAGCGTGTATCAAAATGTAGAAGTTTGACTTCAAAAAATAAATTTTTGAGATGAAAGTATATTTTGCTGAAGCTGCTAAATCTTTTTGCAAAGAAGTTGTTGCTCTCAAAATTGAGGTTGCTGCTAGTCCAAGATGCATGGAGTTTATAAATTTTGATCATCTCTTGACTGGCGGCAATTTCGTGCTAAAGCGAATTATTGATAGTAGAAAAAGAGAAGTTGCCTTTGATTCTTCTTTGTTGTTTCTCTTCAGTTCTTTTTTATCTTTTGAAGGGTCGACTTCAAGTTACCCCTATATAAAGTTTGAATGATGAATTATAGTTTTCATTTAATGAAATCCATATTTAGTCTTCTCGATGAGATGAGCTGATATATTGATATGACTAACTTTGATTTTCTTAATTTTAATATATAAAAATAATGATTGTGAATATGAAAGAATCTAAAATTCAAATTCCAGGATTAAAAAAGATGCGTGTTAAATGTTGTGTGACATTGTCTTGATACTATTTGTCTTTTGAAGTTGTAAATAGAACCAAAACCTGAATTAGAAATATTTACGCTTTTGTATTGTTGGGCTCTCTGCAATTTTCTTTTCTTCCTTATCCTTTGTGTTTGATTTTCTACAATGGTTGTTTTCAAAAAGGGCGATAAGGTATTCCTTCTTTGTTTAATTTCATCTCCATCAAAAATGTCAAAGGCCGCATGCATTTGATTCATTTGAAGTACTTTTTTGATGATTCTTATCATGTCCAATGATAGGAAATGCTTGCATTCACAAGCAAACCTAACAAAAACTAAGTACCAAAACAAGAAAACTGCTGTTCACAGCAGTAAAACAGCCAAAAAAAACAGTGGAAATCGAGAGGAAAAATGAAGGAAAACTCAAAGCACAACTTGTATTCCACTAGACAATGAATAAAATAGCAAGATACAATTGATCCTCAATTCGAGAGGAGGATCGATCTATCTCAAATCTCTAGACGCCGCTAGAGCCCAAGAAAAACTGAAATCTAAGAGATCTCAAATTTCAGCCGAATTCAAGATACCCTAACTCTAGCAAAACTAATTATTTAATGCATACAAATCAAAAGGAAATTCCTAAACAGTTCCTACATTCAAGTTTCTCTCTCAAAACCCTCAAAAAAACCTTCTAGGAGGATCGATCTCTCCCAAATCTCTAGACCCCACTAGAGCCCAAGGAAAACTGAAATCTAAGAGATCTCAAATTTCAGCCGAATTCAAGATGATCAAACCCTAGGAAAATTGTTAGACCGGTCCACTGGACCGGTCCAAGCGGGAGTGCGGGACCGGTTCACGGGCGAAAATCGCGAACAGGCGGAGAATCCGCCTCTGGCGGAGAACGAGCGGCACGTCTGCCCCCGTAGAGCCGTTTAGGAAGTTTTTTTTGAGCGTTTTGAGAGGGAAATTTGAACGTAGGGTCTGTTTAGGGAATTCCTTTTGATTTGTATGCATTAAATAGTTGATTTGGCTAGAGTTTGAGTATCTTGAATTTGGCTGAAATTTGAGATCTCTTAGATTTAGGTTTTCTTTGGGCTCTAGCGGCGTCTAGAGATTTGGGAGAGATCGATCCTCCTCTCGAATTGAGGATCAATTGTATCTTTGTTGTTTTCTTCTTCTACTAGTGGAATACAAATCTTGCTTTGAGTTTTCTTTCCAATTTCCTTTAAAATTCTGCTGTAAACAGCAGATTTGCTGTGTTTTCCTGCTGTGGACAGCAGTCCAATCACTATTTTCGCTATTTTTCAGAAGATCTACAAGTGTTTCCTATCAAATTGGTATCAGAACCTCTATTTTGGGACCGTTGGGGGCTGATTTCCTGAGATTTCAGCGGATTTTTCTTGTTCCGGAAGAAGATCTTCGTGAATCTTGAGAAGAATAATGGCCGGAAAGAAGGTTGACGTCTTGGAAGGCAAAGTCGGCAAATTGAAAGCCGATTTGGAGGAAAGATTCTTCATCCTTCAAAATCAGATCACCTCCAACAATGAAAGGTTGGAGGGGAAGTTCACCGCAATGGAGGAAATGATGAAGAAACTACTTGAGATGAAAACCAATCCGGTGACATCGGAAGTAAGAGAGACCGCTAACGGCCATGGCATGGGAGGAAATTCGAACCCCTTGCGGGGGAGGAGAAATTCGGAGGTGGAGATCCTAGAGGAAGAGAACGACATGCCTCCTCTAGAGCCTCTTTCGAGGGAAGAGATGAGTATGGGATATGACAGAAGGGGGGTTGATTTTGATGGGAGGAGAGAGGGATCTCATCGCC